TCAGGTGAGAAACCCATCATCAATGACATCCATTACTGTTATGGGTTTATTAAATTGAACCATGCCCAAGTTCATGACTTGGCCCATCCTCTTCGTCTCCATCACATACATCATCTACACTCTGAAACTTGTCTCCTCTAATTCACGCAGTTACGATGACAACCTTCTATTTACCACTATCTACAACAGCCTCGTTTCTCTCTAATATTTTTCCATCTTCATCAACATCAACAGCTTCTATTAGGATTTGAAGATCTACATTAGGGATTTGTTGGCCAAGCTTTTGCTTCACTGAAGCTCTCTACTCCAGAGTCTCACACTGAGCCAAGAAGACCTTCTCTCTCTCTCTATATATATATAGTAGATCACAGATTTATCAAATCGCCACTGTCGTTGTTTCTAACTTCATTTTTGTAAACCATAATCGTCGATTGAACCCCTATACATACATACATACATATACATATCTAGATAGAGAGAGAGAGATGGGGTCGGAGTTGATTCCAGGGATCACGAGACAATTACATACATACATATACGACAGTCGAGAAAGCAAACTCCGCCTCCCTCGCCTCCAGCTCGCCAGATAACTCTCAACCCAAATCACTAACTTACGCATGTAGAGATAGATAGAGAGAGACTGAGAGACAGAGAGAAGGAGGCAACAATGATCGTAGAAGAGAGAGAGAGAGAGCACCAAGAGATGGAATGGGTACAGTGATATATATATATATAAGATATGTATGTGATTATATATATGTATTCTCTCTTTCTCTCTTTATATATATATATATATGGATGAATGAGAGGGGTATTATGGTCAATTCTACTGTCAAACTAACGTTGTTAAGGCTTTTTTAACGGGAATGGGGTATTTGTATATTAGTTTTAAAAGTAAGGGAGATTTGAAGATAAAGGCACGGTATTTAAGGTACCGTGCCTTTAGGCGCGGGCATAAAAATTTTCAATAAAGTTGAGCAACAATGATGAGATTTGAGAGATGGACAAAGGCATGGGAGGGGAAATCTCTTCCCAAGAAAAAAAAAAAGAAAAGAAAAGGAAAAGAGAAGATTGATGAGATAAGAGAAAAAGTGAGAGGCAACCCCACATGGATTTGGTTAATTTATTTTGCGTGACATTATCTTTTTATTTTTTTTATATGTTTTTTCAATAAAATTAAAAGTTAATATTTAATCGATTTCTCAAAAATTTTGTAACATAAATATTAAAATGATATAATATGTTTTCATTACAAATATATATTTTGTTGGGTGGTAACTCTCTCATAATAACAATAAATAACTCTCTCATAATAACAGTATTAGGTAATTAAGAATGGAATTTAATCAATCAATAATGTTAGGTATCATGAAAAACCTTTCATGAAAATAATCATGAAAGTTTCGTGACCCTTGGATTACACTTAGAATAAAAAATCACACACTAATCAAGGTAATTCAAGGATCATAAATTTTTCATGATCATTTTCATGACAAAATTTTCATGATCCATAACTTTTCCCTTTAATCAATTGAGTTTAAAAGGAACGAAATTTAATAATTTAATCAATTGAGTTTAATAACAATATTAAGTGATTCCAAATGGAACATAATTTAATTAATTTCAGTTTTTTATTTTGGTTATATTTCTTTATAACCAAAATAATATATTTTTATATTTTTTTAATATTTGTATCAAAAAATATTACAGACTCCATAAATTTTTAATATATAAATTACAATTATATTTTTATTTTAATAATATTTTCACCGTGCCTTTAGGCGCGGGCATATACTAAATTTCAGGAGAGGTCCCTGTAATTAAGGTAAATCTCAAGGGAGGTCAGTGTAATTAACCCAATTAAATTTATAAGCATCTCCAACGGTGTATAATTTTTTCACCAAATTTAAGTAAAAGTTTCATTTGATATCAAGTGCTTCAACGGAAGATTTTGGAGCGTCATCAGAACATCGGTCAACTTGGCAGACGATCAAGTGGATATCCGGCCGGTCGATCGACCAGTGTAATTTTTTTTATTTTTATTTTTATTTTTTGTCTTGAGATGGTCATCCTAAAACATCTGGCAACGGTAATGAACAATGATTTAATAAAAACTCAATTTGATATAAGGAAAATAAAGTTCTAAATATAATATCTATTTAATAAAATCGTTAAAGTAGAATTTTTTTTTATTAAATTTAAATTTAATAATAAATCTGAATAATTATTAGAAATGGTCTAATAAACAAGATGGAACCATCAAGTTATTTTCCCCAATACCTAATCCTTGATTTGAGTTGGTGATTACAGTGGGCTATTTATGGCCTCACTATTTGTTAGAAAATTCAGTCTGGCTCATGGGTCTTTTAGGTCCTCACGTGGGTAGATTTTCTGGAGGAAATTTTGAGGAATGTAACTGCTATCGTGTATGTAGCTGTATAGCACGTGGTTGCTTGGAAGGAAATCATTCTGTGTGTAGTGATTTCAAAATTGCATTGCATTGTCAAGTGGGTCTGACCCACACCGTGGGTTTATGTTAGGTTTTCATGGGGCTGATTTTGTTTGGGCTTGCAAGTTGATAGTTGTTTTGCGCTGGGCCTGTTTGATTGAATGGAGGTGCTGCTTGTTATAAGTGGCAGGGCCTTATGAGCACTACAGGAAATATCAGTTTTGAGGGCGTATTTTTTACGGAGTTTTCTAAAACGCCATTGTTTGCAATATTTAACGGCATTTCATAAACCTCGCAGTTTTCTCTAATCAAAGCGACACCGTTTCATGAATAGAAGACGTTTATAAACGTCTTGAAATGGTTTTGTCCTGCACACTCCCTCTCCCTGTTTCACCTTTATTTTGAATCTGACTCTCACTCTCGTTGTCGCTCTCTCTCTCTCTCTCTGCTATCTAAACCCTAATTATCTCTGTTAGTTTAGCTCTGTGATTCAGAGATTCAGCTTGGTATCAGCGAAACAGATCGGTGATTCATCAGAGCCATTTCAGTTCTCTCTCGAAATCGAAATTGAATTTCATCTCAGCGATTCAGATCGGTGAGCTCCATTGTCTCTGTCTCTATCTGTCTGTCTGTCTCTCTCTCTCTCTCTCTCAAGCTGAACTGATATTTGAATCATGTTACATGTCCTGTTGAATCAAGCTGAACTGATATTTGAATTAATCTGAACTGATATTTGATTCTGACCTGAATATAAATATATATGTATATATATATATAGCTGAAGTCATTCTTGTACAACTATTTGGAATAAATTAATTTGGGTTCATATATTGGGAACACTCTGATAATTACTTTAATAATGGCAGCAAGAACACTTTGCTAATTACATTATTAATTATAAAAAGTATATATTTGCAATTTTTTTTGTTTTTTCTTTGAGGGTCAAAAACAAAATCAACATATTAAGATATTTTTATTCATGATTTTAGAAAGAAATATTTATGACTTTACATGAGCCCATCAACCACAAGTTTTGGAGCCGACACTGCTCAGGATTTTCAAGATTGTCTTGCTAAAGTAAAAAAACTCATCCCTTATTCTTTTGACTCTCCTAGATGCATCTCCTAGATGTGCTATGAAAATAGGCATCATGAATGCTTTTGACTCTTTTTCTTGGCAGCTTATCCTTGGTATTCTGGGTAGTTTCCAACGCCCTTTGAAGTTCAGGAATTGGATTGCCTCTTGTATCACCTCTCCCAAGTTTTCTATTTCCATTAATGGTATTTTGGAGAGATACTTTCCTGGTGCTAAAGAGTTGAGGCATGGGGACCCATTAATATACCTTTCATGATTGGATGAGTTGAAGTTTAGAATTTGAGGAGGTGGGAGTGAGCAACTTTGAGCTTGGGATAGGCCCCATTAACGTTTTACTTATTATTCAAGATTAATAAGTTATTTCCAAATCCAATATTTATCTTCTCTCTTGTGAATATCATTGATTGGCAAATTATTCATTCTTAAATATTTATATTTTTTTATTTACACTAGCATATTAATTCTTATCATTTCTGTACCATTTCTAGAAAATCATTGGTGACATGTGTGCTTTCATTCTCCATCACTCATGCAATTGCTCTTTGGTGTTTTCTGAATCATGATCATCATCATCATTAGAAGTATTCGAGCTTTGGTACACTTATTGGTTTGGGTAGTGGGTTTGAACTTCCCACATGCATGAGTTCCTACCAAAATTATTCTATTATTGATTGATTTGAGAGATCAATGTATTTCTTGTATCTATCATAATCTATCAAGAGCATTGTAGAAACTTTTGGGTTCTTCATTAATATGCTTCATACTAGATATGCTTCTAGGATGCTTGATAGTACTAATTTAGATTGCACTACCGGGATGCAATCATTAATGGTGCATGCATGCATAAATAGCCTTAGACCCGTCCAAGAATCTTCATTAGAGATACCTAGTCATCTTTGATGAAGCTCTTCTTGGATTGTCCAGTTTGGATAGTTCAGGAGCACAAGTCTGTATTGTAATTAGTAGTTCTACTGCTTATAGTCCATCTCGTAGAGATTTCGTGTAGCAACTCCTTGTGTTCTCCGAGTGCATGCTAGACAAGGTGTAGCAGTACACGTAGTCTATGTCGTGTATTTGGAGAACCATGGGGAGATGCTGTCAAAATTTCGTTAGAGACGAACAGAGCGGTATGAGTTGCTTTTTACAATATAGACTGTATATTCCTGAATGGGAAGGTGTAGCAGTACACCTAGTTTTCAATGCTCTCATTTATTGTTCGGTTATTGCACATCAAGTGCCTTGGTGGATGGAGTGACAAGTCTTTCATGATGTTGCTTGAGCTTTTGAGGGATTCGTTCCCAAAGGGTGAAACTTTGCCAAAGTCATTTTATGCAACTAAGAAACTCCTTTGGCACACATTTGGATGTTATGCTTCGTGGAGGACCAGGCCGGTGGGGCCAAGGTGTTGAGTTAATTCAAACTGTGGAAACTCTAGTAGAACATACTCTTTTTAAAGATGGATCAAATATCTACCAGCTTTTCTAGTCCTTACAGAATTTCATGCCAAAAACTGGGAACCTTCGTAAGTTCTTGCACTTACTTGGCTTTCTTTGTCTTATACAGTAATATACTTGATTTAACATAATCATGAAGGATGTTTTTCTTTTGTTTCAAATATGTAATAACCTAGAGAATTGTTTTCAAACGTGGAAACTTGGTTGGAGATGACCATCCTCTGCCTGTTGTAGCAGAAGTGGGACTGTCGCTTAGATGCAACTTTCCTTCCACTATTGTACTAATAGCTAATGAACCTGGTATGAGGATGATACCCTTTCATCAATCTGGATGCAGGCGTATTCTTTTAATCTTACTGTCTTTCAAATCAATGATATGAATCTTATTTAAATTTGTTGGAAATAATTGTTCTCTTATTTGAATAAATTTATTCCATGCTTTTAGCGAATAAACTTGATGTTATTTGGAGTGCAATTCAAGCTGACCGTGGTCCAGGTCGAGTGCGTGCTACTCCTATCATTGTAGCAAATGGGCGCACTATTCGAGTATCTTCAATAGGTATAAGTGATTCTGGAAAAGCTTTTGGAAACTCATCTGCTCTCCATTTAAGTTGGGAACTCATCAATTGTGATGGTTTGGCATCTTTGGGTGATGCCTATGATTTAGCAACATCCAAATCCAGCTGGGAGAGGTTTTTGTTATTGCAGAATGCGTCAGGATTGGTACTGCCAAAACTTTGATTTGTTTAAATTTATTTTATATCATCGTATTTAATCAGGGTTTAGGTTTTTTATGATATGTAATTTTTCCCTTTGGGTCTTTAGGTGAGAGGCTGGACCTTGGCATTGCAGTACCTTAATATCAATGATTTTATGAATATCTGTGTCTTCTAATGAATTAAGGGGGGGAAAAATGATGTAATGCTGTCCAAAATTCTATTAGAAGAACTGATAATTTGATAATCTAGTGCTTCTTCTTTGCTTATAGGCCCTTCTTATAAAGATGTTATATTTAAGTTGTTATTTTTCATGCTTTCTTGACATTGGATGTGAGCTGAAATGTTAGTTTTTCAACTTTTAATGCATTTCATTTTGACTTCTCAGTGCATTGTTCGTGCTACTGTTTTTGGGTTTTCTGATAACATGGTTGATGATCATTCTACTGTACCATTTGAAAACTTGGAGAGTAATCTTACAGATGATGTATGTTTATAGGTATGTCGTTTAATTTCTATGCAGATTCTTGGGGCCTGTTTGGTTGCAATTAATAGTATGAATATCTGTAACTTTGCAAAAAAAAAAAAAAAAACAAAAACAAAAAAAAAAAAACCAAAACAAAAAGGTGAATAAATATGAGAATTGTTTTCTAGTGTTCTTTTTCCTTGCAGAAAATATTTGAATTCTAGTGTAACAATGGATGTATTTTGCTTCTTGATAATGGGTCATAATCTTCGCACTTGCATTTCCAGAAACAAACTCCTAAACACATTCGTAGTTGTTCACCCTTTTCTTGTTTTTCATTTTCTGTTGAAAGTGGAATATTGTTTTGCAATAAAAATTAAAGATTTTTTTTTTTTTACCTTAGTTGCTCGAGGTTCATGGTTTATCTAGTTGGTTCTTTGTACTGTTTATTTTATTTGACTTCTTTGGTTTTATTTTTTTGCCCATAGTGCTGTTTAAAATGCTGCTAGTTTCTACTCTAAGAGTCAACCCGGAATTCAGTTTGTTATTCTTCAGTAATGATGCTCAGGTAACCTTGATGCTATTATATATTAATCTTTGTCTGGCTAGTAAAGGTGCCATGAGAATGATGCACTTCTTTAGTAGTGTTTAGGAAATTGCTAAATCCACAACCGTTATGGCTGCATCCAGATTCTACAGCCTCCTTTCTCATGTGGGGTCCACCTATGTGAGAGGGAACAATGTGGGTAAAGCCTAAAAGTTATGATTTTAGCAGTGGCATTGTTTTGTATTTTATCTGTTTGCATCTTGTCTTATCATGACCAGATCAAAGTCTGGATATAGTTTTAGCTCAATCAACTTATTACAATAATGCGGTGATAAATTCTGGTTATTAGTCTGCCATGCACATTGGTAGACCATATGATGACAATATTTGTTCCTGAATTTCATCATTAATGTTCAAGCCTTAAATAGGATTGAACTTGTTTGCTGCCTTAGGGCTTTTTGGTTTGAAAAATGAAGCTGCAGAAATTATTCACAGGTCTGCCAAAATATAAATGAAATACAAATATGTTATCAACCAAGTGGAAAGACTACTAGATGGTTCCTTCGCATGATGATGAGCATATTTAAACCTAATTGTGCTAAAGATGTTCAAATTGATCCCTAGATAAAGCTTATCAAAAAAATAAAAAATAAAAAATTGATGCTAGATAAAAACCATATTCAGAATACCTTCCCCAAATTTTCCTCTAGTAAATTGAAGTGGTTGTCCTCAAGTTCAAAACCACAGTTTTGCACTTAATAAAATGATATTCTATGATGTGACCAAACAGTGGCTCCTATATTCTATATTTTTTAGTTTTCAAAGAATAGGGACAACTGTTCAAAAGTAAACATTATGAACCACTTATATATTGGATGTTTCATTCATCAAATAGTTATTTAATAACTTAGATGACTTTTTAATTTTTGGATAAGCAAAGGAAGAATCCATTAAAGATGCCAAAGAGGGCCACAACCTCTGTACACTAGATGTGTGCAATGTCAAGATAAAAAGCTATCAACAAGACTAAGGTCTTCTATGAAATCTACCAAAAGAAAAGGAAGATTCACCAACCTTCCCTTTGAGCTAAAAATAAAAAGTCTGTAGTAAAGATCTCTTTAACATCTTTAGATGACTTTTAAACTTAACAAGTTATGAAGACTATCCGTTTTACTTTGGAGTTCCAGTATTGAAATACATACTTTTTGGTGTTTCTGAAAAGATAAGTTTTAGATGTCCAATGCTGTTCAACTGTAAAAAGACATCGGCACATTTCGGTTTTATCACCCAATACTTGGGCTTCTCATATGAGATGCTTTTTTCTTTTCCAGCTAAATCTCTCAATCACTGGAGGAAGCTGTTTTTTGGATGCTGTTGTTAATAATTCTCAAGTTGTAGAAGTGATTCAGCCACCATTAGGTTTACAATGCTCGCAGTTAGTACTGGCTCCTAAAGGGTTGGGAACTGCACTTGTTACTGTTTATGACATTAGACTTTCACCTCCACTTGCTGCTGCTCCTGTGGTGATCTTTCCCATTTTTTATGTTTTCTTTGTGTGATTTGTCCACCAATGAGAATCTGTCAAAAATTTCCTTTTAGTTTTGCTTCTTACATGATTACAGATTTCCAATTCTAATTTCTATTGCTTGTATTGAAGATAGAAAATCGGGAGGTTAAGATATAAGATTACAGAGTCCGCATGCCTGGTGAAGTATGTGTCAAATGACTCATTGGTGTGAGCTGTGGACCATCATTGTACAACACATTTAAACCCATGTGAGCCTAGCCCAAAGGAAACAATATTGTACAATGTTGGGTTAAAGCAAAATATGACATTATAAAAAAGATTGTGTTGTGATACTTCGTGTTAGTACCTTGATTTCCAGTTATTTATGGTTTATAGTTGGATTTGCATCTTTTATTGAATTGGGCTTGTACACTTGTTTAAATGGGTATTTCAAGCTGGTGCCATCAATTTTTTTTTTTTATTGTCAATTAAAGGTCTAGATTTGTTCACCATGGACCTGTTCAACATTGGCCCGAATTTTTGGTTGGATTCAAATTTGAATTTGTATGTGATGGCAAATCTCAATTTGATAAGGTTATACACATTCTAAAAGAAAAAATATGTTAAAGACCCTTCAGAAGTCTTGCCTAATTTGACATACATTGGTATACCATGCTACAAATCAACTTATTTATTTATTTGGGAGAGATACAAATCAATAGCGTTTTTATTTTTATTTTTATTTTTTCTTTATATGTATTTAGTGCTTCTTGGTATGTGATAAAATCTTCTTGTTAGTGCTTCTTCAAGTTTTAAGTACTGTTTATAAGTATTGGGTATAAATTCTTCAATTTGTGTTTATTTTGGTGAATCTGATTGCAGTTTATGTTCTGATGTAGGCATGTAGACCAGTGACGACTACAACTTTAATGCTAAGACATGATTTTTGGATATATGTTAGTTTGTGGTTAATGTTAAGACATGATTTTTGGATATATGTTAGTTTGTGGTTAATGTTAAAACATGATTTTAGGATTTTGGATATGTTAATTTTGTGAGTAATGGTGATTGGATATTAATTGAATGAGAAAGTGAAGCAATTTTTCATTACAACTATTTGAATGGGAGTTATTATTTTATATTAGTGCTATTACAGGTAATTTTTTAGTTCAATCAAATAAAATTAGCACAATTTCAAAAAAAAAAAAGGGGATATGACGGCGTTTCTGCAAACGCCTCTTAAACCCTACAAACTAACGGTCATATATTTAAAAAAAGATATGACGGCATTTTCCAAAAACCTCGCTAAATATAGTCAGTGACGTCAGCGTATGTTTAGGAGGACATTTGGTGGCGTTTTAAAAAATGCCGCCTATACTAATATCATGACGTTTTTAAAACGCCATAAAGCTATAATGACGGCCGCGTCCTCGACGTTTGGTACTAAGCGTCACAAAAAGAATTGGCGGCATTTTTGGCACTTTTAGTGGCGTTTTTTAAACGCCACTAAAAGTTGTATTTCCTACAGTGGAGGTGATTTTTGTTGAGCCACTGGGCAGCGGTATTTGTTGCAGCGATTTATTTATGTTGCTTGATCACGTGATTCTCATGTGACTCTCTATGAGGTTGGTCTTGACCCATGTCCACCAAGAGTGATTAAGGGGTTACTGTTATGGGGAATTGTGGTTCGATGATTAGCCGAGTTAGAGACTGGGAGATTTGTGGTCTTCTGGTTTGTTCTAGTTACCTCTTGTCTTCATGTGACCCATCCTGATTGGTCTTTTAGCCACTCTTGACATTGAGTGAAGGGGACACTGTCGTGGGGATCGAGGCTTTGTGATCAGCCAAGGAAGGGACTCGGGGATGTGGTGATTGTGCTCATATTGGGATCAAATTTGACTTTGACTGTTGCTGTAGTGGTTACTGGGCACTGCTATATATCCATTAGGCATATCATTATGGTTACTGACCGTGCGAGTTTCGTGTGACTCCATCCGGATCTTTCATGGGGTAGATATTTTCCTCTGTCATGGCTATTGTTGAGTGGCTATGGATGTCACGGTCGTGAGGAGAGAGATGCTTATTGGACTTTGTGTTTTATCTGTGGTAGAGACAAGGAGCATGTGGGGGCGGTTCTCATTTCTTGATTGGTCTTGGTGGGTGTTTAGCTTGTTGATTTTGTTTAGTATGTTTCTACTAGCTTATTATGTGTATTTTGGTGTTTCATGTTGTATATTTGCTCATATATCTTCCTCAAATTTCCATCTATTATTTTTGATGGTAGGGGTAATTTGAGGATAAAAAGGATATGTGGGCAAATTTTGGGCATCACTTGTGTTCTTCTTTTGGTTCCGCGGTAATCGCGGAGTTAATTATATTTTGTTTTTTTGATATTGTTTAACTCAGTGTTAGATTTATTATATTACTTGGGGTATGCCCCTTGTAAATGTGTACACTTTTGTCTTTAATTTATAACTTATCCACCCAAAAAAAAAAAGGTTGATGGAGAGGTGGCGATCTATGCAAAAAAATACAAAGCCCTATTCTTGATTGATCTTGAAACTATGGGTGGCGACAATAATGTTGGCACAGATGATTAAATTGAGCAAACGAAACCGGGGAAGAAGCTCATGCTGTTTGATCAAGGCTCCCTTGACCCAAGTACGAGATGTACCACACAATGTAGTGGCCACCTCGTTGAATTCACAAGTGGGCCGGACAGGGAAAGGATAGTGACACAGAAAGACACGGTTAATACCTAAGGAAACTGGTCGGTGTTATAAGAGAAGCAAGAGGCAGTGGACTTCCAACGTTTGGAAGTGGACATGGCTAACTCAAGGACAAAAAAACAAAGACAGACACAACCCCCCAAAGCAAAAGAAAAACCAAAACCATTAGACATTAAACAAAATTAGTAACAGAATAATATGAACAATTAATGCAAAACCAATAAGAACAGGATGCAAACCAAAAGCAACT